ACCCGAGGTCGGCGATGATGCCGCGATCCATGCCTTGGTGGACTTGGCCACTTGGCGCGGTTGAAATTGGCAGAGTGCTTGGATAGTCCCAGAACGGATATGAGGTGTATATATATATATAATTATATATACAATAATATGATATCTAATATACCTAATATATATATATATGATTATATATATGATTATAATATATATATGATATATGTATATATAATTTTCAATATAATATAACTCCATATATACCTATTATATTGCACACTATATATGTATATAGGTTTGTCTGAAAATAGACTGGGGTATACCGATGTATACCTTCAAATGGCAATTTGAACGATGAAATCTGATGATTAAGACTTTCGATTGTGGGGTAATAAATGTTCAGACAAACCAATATTGGAAAGCAGCACTCTGAAAGCTGCTTTTTATGGGAAGACAGAAAGGAAAACAGAATGTAGATTTATCATCACAGGTCTCAGGGACACCCTATCGGACACCTTTTTATCCTTCCAAATGCATCAAACACATCTGGGACTTGCATGGTCTTGCCGGGACGGTCCCCCTCTATCAAAATGCAGTGGGGATTCCCACTTATTTGACAATTCCAATACGCTCTGGGAAACTTAATGATGATGAGTTGTAAAGCATCTTTAATTTTCGAAGAATTGGGTGGTGTCAAACAATCCCACGTGGAGTTACATTGCTGGCCTTGCCACGATACCCATGGAGCATGTTAGATCACTTTTGCACCTCGCGGGGGCGCAACGTTCCGCACAGCACTTGCCATTTCCTCAATGCACAATACTTCACCCATGTGAGCACCCAACAATCATATCACCATACCCACATCGTTGTCTCATATCCATTGTTGGCATCATTGCCATGATATACCTTCCAGCAATCGGACACAGCAATGGTAAATATGGGTAGATCAACGGAATTATCTACCAGGAGCATCCCCGGTCTCATACCCGTCCTTTTCATTGCCCCTTTGTGGTAGCCATAGCCCATGGCACAGCGGACCTAGGCCAGAAGGAGAACTGAGGAGTTTCCTCCGCAGGAGTGGGGCCACCAAAGCCAATTATCAGAAGTTTGAGTGGCAGAAAAGCCACCCCAAAATAATCCAAAATGGGCTTACTCCGTCTGATTTTGGAAATGCCAATAACTTTCAGATTCCCACGGTGCCATCATGTGCCATCGCGTGGGCATCCATTGAATTTCACAACCGCCATGGCCACCCGAGGCTTGCCAACGTGCTGTGAAGCCTGGCGACGTTGGAAATCTATGACCAACCAATTCTAGGCGTTCTCCTCGGGCGCCTTCGGGGAGGTGGCTGGGAAATCCACCGAAATTAGTTCGATGATTTTCCGATGAACCCCCTATCTGCTGGAGGGCAACCCGACTTTTGAGGGACTTCTATATATATATATAGGATATTCATAATAGACAGGGGGCTATAGGATATATATATATATATGTTGAATATATATTGAATATTCTGATAGATTGATGCTATAGGATGAACAAGGGACTTCTTCCTGATCGTTGGGGCATCGCGGCATCGCAGGCGCGACGGAGCTTCGAATGGCCAGCGGCACGGAGTTGAGCGCCCAAGACGTGGCCAACAGGTTGTGGGGCCAGGAGCCCAGGTTGCCCAGCTGTTTCTTTTGGCCATCAGGGAATGAATTGATGGGAAAATCACCATTTTTAATGGGAAAAGTCCACTATTTCAATGGTATAGTGGGACATACTTTGACTTACTGGTGCGTTTTACGTAGGGAATGGATGGCAATGGGGGAATAAATGGGATGATGATTATTACTAGTGATGAAATGGATCATTCCCGAAAATTCCCCGCGTTTAGCAGCAGTAAGATTAGGGATGTCGAACTTGGAGAACTGGAGCACTTCGCAGGTCTCGCAACCGTAGGCGCGGGAGGGTTCTGTCGATAGCTTGATGGCTTCACTAATGTGAAGCCAGGATTGGTAATCCCACAGTTTTTCTTTTTGGTATGGGGGTACCATTTGCACTTGGAATTAGTATTACGTATCACTACTGTATTGTGAGGAATATCACTATTGGAAGGAGCATAGCAATTGATACAGTAGACGGGTGGCTTTTGGATCATGGGCTGACAATACCGCAGATGGGCCCGCATTGAAGCTGGGTTTTCATGCCTGTGAATTATTCCCAGATTTTGACAGGTTGAAACACTTTATAGATGTGGAGACAAATGTGTGTGTGCGCGCGCATGTATGTATGTTATGTAATGTAATGTAATGTGATGTGATGTGATGTGATGTGATGTGATGTATGTATATAATATATTTATATTTGTACATACATGCATGAATGGATCGATGAACAAATAAATGTATAAATGTATATAAATATGTAACTGTATATATATATATTATATTATATGTGTATCCCAAAGTCTTGTGGGTTGTTGGGTTTCTGTTGCTTGGAAGCCCCGGCCAGTTCACAGAAGCGCAACTTGGAACAGCGGTGCTGGAAAGCTCAGTGGAGGGTGTTATGGGTGAAGCACCAGTTATGAGAAGTTGTGAGCTACAGACTGGAGGCAATAGAATAGAACCAATAGTTTTTCCATTTAATCTTCATTTAATCCTCATGCCGGAACCTCACGAAATCCCCCAGTCCTCGTAAAATCCTCATTCCGGAACCTCATCGAATCTCCATTCCTCATTTAATCTTCACACTGAGTAGTGATGGGAAGATATGATGGTAATGTGGGGGCAGATAACCAACCCCAGTTGGGGTTATTCTCAATGTGCGGATATGTAGTGGAATATGCAGCCAAAAAATCCAAGAATAAATTACATGGGTTTGTCCAGACATCTGACATCACGTCATGAGTTTGATCAAGAAAATGGGTGTATAACCTCGACCAGAACAGGGATGCAATGGTGTCTATAATGATATATGCACGCGCACACACACATATATATAATTATATATATATACATACACATATTATATTCCAACAATGTGGGTTGTCCAGAAATTGGGTACACCACCAGATGGTGATTTGAATAGGAAAAAGGATGATAAAGCATCAGATGCCGGGGTGCCCTATTTAAACGGGAAGATAGTATAACTTCAACAATACATCACAATCGGAAGGATGGAGCTTGGAAATTCATTTAGGTCAAGAAACGTTGACATAAAATTAAGTTCTTCAAGTTTGGGTGCCCTAAATAGGTCAGATTTTTTGGAAGGAAAATTGCCGGACACTTTGAATTTGGTTCTAAAAGACGATAACTTTCCCGTCGATTGTGAGGTCTCAGATGCCCTTGCTGGCGTAGTGCTGGAGGTGCTTCCCGAAGCCTCTTCCCAGGCACGGGTTTTTCGTAGGGAGAGCCATAGAGAATGGCATGAAATGATAGCTTTCTGATGATTTGGGAGTTAATATGAAAATACTTCTCGAGTGCTGATTTTTCAAATAGATTTTTCACCATGATGGTGACACCTAAACTAACAGTAAACTAACAATAGATGTGGAAAAACCACGGTTCGGTTCGTCATTTTCCGAATGGGAAGCCCATGGAGTTCCACATACCTACGAATTTATGGGAGGGCAGTAGTTACTAGATTTGGGAACTAGTGATTCTTTCAAAATTGGGACAACAGTAAACGAATAAATGTAAATACACACACACATATATATAAATGTATATGATTATATATACATGTAGAGTTCAAACCCGAAAACACCAATAACTTGCAATTCGTAAATGCTTTTTATAGCCAAGCTCCCCAAGTGATACGACTCGGTGGTGTCTCCAGGAGTTTGCCAATCTGCTGTGAGCTGTAGCTACTTTGCTTTTAGGGAACGCAGCGATCCACGATGTCCGCTGGCCCGGCCCAAGAGTTGGCGGTTCACACAGGATTCAGAACACCTTTTTTTGGAGGGGGGAGGGAGGACATATTTCGGTTACCCTCTGGTAAACAAACAAAAAGCTATTATTGAACATGGTTATTTATAGTTGAATTACCTATGAAACATGGTGATTTTCCATAGTTATGTTAGTTTACCAGAGGGTAAGCATCATTTCAGGCCCCAGTTGATGTTTTGAATATATGAATTGTTGATGTCTCAGTGATTTCCAAGCATCGAGCTTGTACCCCACACGAAGATCACGAGGGTTTCAGGTAGGCCCCTTGCTGCGTCTACCACTGAGCTGAGGCAATAGATGCCATGACATCATTGAAGTCGGGGTGCTTGCAGTTGATCTGAGCATCGATAAACTTATCCTGGTTGGTGGTTTGGAACATTTTTTTTATTTTCCATAATATGAATGGATAATCATGGATAATCCTTCCCATTGACTCATATTTTTATATATTTTTCAGAGGGGTGGCTCAACCACCAACCAGTATCTCTGTGTTGACGTTAGCGAAACCCTACACGAAATCATTTTTGAGGATCACAGTTTTACCTTGCCAGTCAATACTCTTTGAAACCAATTCTGCGAAATCTAGATCTTTCCGGGGGTCTATTAAATAGCCACTGAATGGACCAATGCTGGCTATGTACCTAACAAATCCCAACAATAGGATACTGTATCAATAGGGGAATCAATGGAGGAAATTCGCTGTAGTTTAACCATTGTCAGGGATCGTTATATTTGCAGTGCATTGGCCTCTCTTGCCCCATCTGAAGCCAGTGGTTTCTTTTGATGGCCATTGTGCCCCGCACCTGCAATGAACCTGCAGTACTTGGCTCAAGCCCCCCGTGACCGGAGCTCGAAGTTATTTCACCCATCACAGCACGCCCGGTCCCACCTGTTTTTCGGTCACGCTGGAAATTGCGGCCCTACCGAAAACTGCAGCAGCAGCAGCAGTTTTCACAGTACAGGGCACCGTGAGCCAACAGCCATCAACATCATCAACAGCCAAGCAGCATGAAGTAGCCACCTCTGAAAAGACATCACTCACACCTAAAGCATCCTAAAGCATCAAACAGCAAACAGCCCACAGTTTGCCCTAAACCTTTGCCTAGCACTGCCATCGTTCGGAACTCAGGTGCACACCAAGGAGACTGCAAGGCACAAACGAAAGTTCTTTATGTACATAGACGTTTGTTGACGTTTTTCTTTTTTTGCAAGGCTTTCACTGTCAGGAATGGATAGGAATGGACAGGAATGGACAGGAATGGATAGGAATGGATAGGAATGGATAGGAATGGATAGGAATGGATAGGAATGGCAGAATGATGATGATGATGATGATGATGATGATGATGATGATGATGATGGTTATGGTGATGATGATGATGATGATGATGGTGATGGTGATGGTGATGGTGATGATGATGATGATGATGATGATGATGTTGATGACGACGACGACGACGACGACGACGACAATGATCACGATGACGGCGATGAGGGTGATGATGACGATGCTGACGATGCTGATGCAGTATTGTTATTGCTTGGGTCTTTGCATGTTTTTATTTGTTCCTAAGCCGAGGCGGAGCCATGTCGTTGGCCGCGTTGCTAAGTCTAGGGCGGAAAGAGGAGCCGAAGTCGGGGTAGCCCAGCCGCCACTCAATATTCAATAGTGGGATATAATGGGATTACACACCAACCACAATGTGGGCAGAATGGGGGTATAACATATAAGATACTATAAGATATATAGCCAGCAATCCAAGATATGGACACGTCTGAAAACGGAGGATTTAACTTCCGGTGGTGCCCATTTTGTTGGGAAAAAACATGTTTGACATTGATGAACCATGGGATTTGGGGGCAACCTATTTTTCAGACAATCCCGGAAGGGACCGAAGATGGACCGGGTAAAATCAAGTGGTTTTCGCGGTAGGGAGGTGAATTTCCTGTGGCCACACACACACACACTCACAATATGACTTAATATGTGATAATATATATATATAATATATGATATGATCTTACATGTATATACAGTGTATATATATATATATGTATTATGTATTGTTCAGCCAAATTCCAAAGTCGAACCTGCTTTTTCGTGAGGCTAGGCATTTTACTAGATAGAACCTACGACCGGCGATCTTTGGGGAAGATGTTCGAGGAGTTCACGACATCAACAATATAATCAGTACAAACCAGGTCGTTTTTCACTTGGACAAGTGTGTTTTTTATGGACATACTTATAGGATCTGATAGGCATAAAGACTCCAAAGATATGTAAACATGATTAAAGCATATTAAAACTGTAATACAGCCCTGTACAGTGTCCATTTGTCCTCCCGGGCCTCGGAAATAATGGAATCAGGGGGCTGCCTGCGACGTTCCCCAAAAAGGCTTGCTGCACCCCGGTAATTTAAGATATTTAACATAGCTATGGAAAATCATTTTTTTTATGGATAAATCATCTGTGAATGGGGTTCTTTTTATCTATTTTCCATAAACAGGTTAAATGACTAGTGGGTAGATAGTTGTATCGAGGCTGGGTCAAAGATACCGAGGCCGCCGCCCGTTGAGAAGCCAAAGCCGGAGAAACCGGTCTCGGTTCCCCGACAGCTGAGAAGTCGAAGATTTTGGCAAGGGAAAATCAATCAAAACCTTCAATGGATTGGTTTAAGGGAAACTTTGCAGGAAAAAAACATATTTCATGGGAAAATCTATGGTTAGCTAAGTTAGCTATAGATTGTTGGCCTTTAGCCATCAGTGTGGGGCCACTCATCAAGAGGTTTTTTCCAGATCTTTTTTATTTTCCCTTAAACCAATCCATTGAAACCTAGAACATTTTCTAGATTCTTGCAGTTAATGGATTACATTTCCCTGGGTGGGATTTTCCATTGCAATGTTGGCTTTAGGACATTTCTGAGTGCGACTCAGTCAACGTATCTTTGATATTTTTTGATGCTCCTGCTACCGAGGAGGCCCCTTCCGCCAGCATCGTCCAAAATGAGGAGGACACGGAACTTGAGGGTGGATTAATGGCAATGGAAACTCCCCGAACGAGCCATGGGGGGTTTCTAGCTGGGACAAAGTCATCGATTTTTTTTTTCCAGCCAGCCATGTTTGACCGGTGGGTTTAGTTGAATCCATAGATTGGCTCGTCACATGAAGTTCAGAAGCGCCGTGCAACGTCAACGGGCTAAGGTGGGGTCGAAATGATTCTAGATCTGCAGCTCGACTCATAGGGCCATGGGGCCATGGGCATCACGAGTTGACTGCAGGATAGAAAACTTGCCTTAGAGCTGGCAGCAAAGCAGGTGGGACAACCCCCATTGAGGTATTGAGATGGCTCAGAGCAATGTGGCTCCTGACATTTGGCACTCTGAATTCCACATAAACGAAACAAAACGACTACCTACTGTAGAAACTAGCCACCCAGCCGTTCCCAAACACATGGTGGTTGATGCTTATGTATTACATCTGTATGCTTGTGTGGCGTTATGTCAACTGTGGGGACATTGTTCTATGATTGTCCAAGATGAGAACTTAGAACTCTCGTCAGTGCAAGGCGACGACATTTATCCCTCGAAGAAGAAAGACACGGAAAGACAGAGTAGCTGAGCCTTACCCATAGGATCCATGTATGCTATATATGGTAACATTTACCATCAATATACCCCCAATGTTAGCATATATACCATACATGGATCCTATGGGTTATGCTGTACAGTACTGTAGTATACATCCTTCTCTTCGCTAATTTGATAGGGTTTGTCCAAAAACAGTTCATCCCTGATTCCACTGGTGTGCGATCATTTTCCGGGCCTATGACGTTGGTCCCTTGGACCGGCCGTGCCAGGCCGATCTGCTGAGTGAAGAGGATCCACCGACCTGTCATCCTTGGAAGGGATGAGGATCATGATAAGGGTCCCCCAAAATAGTCGATTCAGTCTGGAAGATGATGATTAACGAATGATTAACGAATGATTAACCAATGATTAACCAATGATTAACCAATGATTAACCAATGATTAACCAATGATTAACCAATGATTAACCAATGGATGGAATGGGCACCCTACTTGCAGAAAATCCATAGTATCCCCAAATGGCCTGACTCTTCAGGCTGGTGAAGGGTTATGATTTCTCCAGATGATATGTGTTGGGTTGATGGATGATACTCGCGGAAGGAGAAAAACGATAATAACATTTATATATAGCCAGAGATGTTGAGGCATAGCCTTTGGTGTCCCCACTCCATATACTAGAGTTGTCAGGAGTTATCATGCACTTGTCAGTGAACAGCTGGTATGTTTGACATGGGCATCACGGCCACCTCTAACTAGTTGGTCCTTCTGATCTGCCATAAAACGATGTACCCGGCCTGGCAAACATACATATATAGCTATTGAAAATGGCCCATTGAAATAGTTGATTTACCGAACTTAAAGATAGTGATTTTCAATAGCAATGTTAGTTTACCAGAGGGTAAACCTTTTTTTTTGGTCATTTCGGCCATCCCATCCCAGTTCGGCCAAACACGGCGCCACGGCCAGATGCTGATCAGAGAGGCCGAAGAGGAAGCAGCCAAGGAACGGGAAATCGAAGAGGCTGCCAAGGCAGGATGAATTTCAAAGCCATGGGCTATACTCATGGTATACTCATGGTTATTGCACCCCCAGTTGGGGAAAGTTGGGATTTCTGGGCCCGATTTTTTTGCAAAACTTAGTTCATTGGAACTGCAACCCGGAGTAGGACGATGGGGGGTATGGATGGAGCATGATATATCAATGATATGCCTTGGACTTGTGGAAGGTTTGTAGAATCCTTTCGATTTCTTCCCACGATGATGGGACCATCACTTTCAATGTAGCTAGATGCCCAGATTAAGAGTTATATAAGAGATTGATTGATCAAAAAATCGGACCTAGGCCTTCAAAGATTCATGGGACGAAGTACTGTACATACTGTACTTGATGATACTTGGAGTTGGAGCCTTTTCCAAGACTTCTTAGACACTGGTTTGTCCCTAAAATGGTGGATACCCCGTTTAATGAGGAAACGTTGGTAAACCTGGGGGGTTTTGGGGTACCCTATTTTCAGACAAGCCCATATCTAAGAAATAAATATCATAAATGGACCGACTTTTGTGCCAAGATCTACCTCCCGAATTTTCACATGGAACCCAAAAACTGGGGTCCCAAAGATGCTTTGCTAGCGGATATGGGCCTTGTTGGGTTCCATCCTGAATTTAGAGATTGTAATCAAGCAATGGTTTGGACTTCGTTTGTGAATATGCATTTGCATCGTTTTTATATAATCCGTTTTTGGCATTCTGTCTTTGATGATGGTCAACCATCAAAGGTTTCATCGAAATCATCCAAGAGTAATAAAACCTATTTCGCTTGGTCAAAACAATCCATTGACTGCCGACCCAGCGTTTGGCTCCCAATTGTTGATGGCGATCCTCCCATTTTTACTTGACTACATCTTGTTAAATCAGTTAAATCAGTTACACTTAACTCCAAAATTGAGCTGGCAAAACTCATCTAAATCACTAAAAAACACCTGCCAGTTTCCCTTCCAAACCAGCACCAGCCTCCAGGCCGCCGCTGCGCTAGCGCAGAAGCAGAGACTTCAGGCGGCCACCACTGGGGGCAACCCCTTCAGCACGGGCGGCTGCTCGGACCCAGGGGGGCTGGTCGACTTTTGAACACTCGTTTTTTTTGGGGGGATTTCAACGCAAAAACGTGGATTTATATCAGCAGGAACATGTGGATTTAGCAAGGAACATGGGGATTTCGCGAAAGAAACCAGGGGAATGAAGGAAGGAAACGTAGGGATTCAGAAAGGAAAAATTGGCGATTTAGCAATGAGAGCTTGGGGTTTCTGTTGACCTGTCGGCCCTGTTGGCTGTAGTAATAGGGGAATCGCATTCCGTTAATTTCATCTCATTTTAGCCCCACCATGTTTCACTTCCCCTGTGTTTCAACTCAGGTCGCATGTTTCAGCCGGGTGTCTTTCTGTGTGACGAGAGATCGGGCTACAAACCCATGATGGGTTGGGGCCTCGGTTGCCTCGGTTGCCTCAGTTGCCCCGGTTGCTATGGCACCGCCATGGCGACCAAGGTGGGATGCCCTACATGCCACCGACGGACTGGCTACCACCTGGGATGTCGCTGCCCGTAGCTGTGGCTGAGAATGGCTTGGAAAGTGTTACGAAGTGCCACGAAGTTTGTTGGCGTGTTGGCTAGGAGTTGCCTGACAAAGTTCCCAAAAACGGGTGGATTTTGCATGATTTTGCAAAGTTGGAGGTTTTTGTTGCGGCAGGACCAGTCTCGGCCAAACCAACCGGTAATTTTCCAGACATTTCTTGGTGCCACCCGGCCATGCTCCCCAGCGTCAGGCAGGTTTTCAAGCGAGTCAGCCGCAGTTTCGACAACTGCATCCGGCCGCTCTCTGGGGGCAGGAGTCACCAAGCCGCAACACTACTGATACAACTGGGGGCAGTGGCCGGAAATTCCGCTTGTGTTTGCAGGAAAGCCTTAGATTTTCCGCTTCAAAACCTTGGGTTTCCATATGTTTCCATTCATTTTTTGCATTTCGTTTATCATTAAGCAAATACAAGGTGGTGCCCCATAGTTAGCTAAGTTGGTTTATAACTCCTATAACTATGGTTTATGGCAGATATAACTAACTATAGTCAATGGGGTTTATAAACCAACTTATAACTGGGGGGTACCATCCTGTATGTTCATATGTTTGCCGGTCAAACAGGTGTGGGTTTCTGGCCATTTGTTCATGGGTTTTCCATGACTGCTCGGAGGTTTGCCAGAATGGCAATGAAAGCGCCCCCCTACATGCCATCGACCTACGCAGCGGATCCCCCACAGCGGCAGCAACCTGGAAGTGGGAAGGAGCTGTTGGAAAACGGGGGGAGTTAACTGAGTTAACCATGGAAAATGAGGACTTAACCAGGAGACATGGTGGATTTATCGGATTTTCTGAGGTAAACTCCAGCGATTTTTTCAATTGGGGTGACTTGTTTGGCTGATTTTGGCTCTATCCCCCGTGGGGATGATGTACATTAATTTCATTACATCCACATGTCGGTCACTGCATGCTTTATTATCGGGTTTATATACCACATTATATGTTGGCACAAGGGCAGTGCACAGGCGCTTCATGTCATGAACTGGGATTTTTGAAACTTCGGAGGATTTGGGATGCTCCCAAATTTGATCCCAACGTCTTTGCGCTGCAATAAACGCAACATTCAGAGAAATGAAGTGGTCACTCTTGAGCAATTAGTTTTTTGCTGCTCAAAATGTTGTTGTTATTCATAACGGCATTAATGATACTGGACTAGAACCCTTGGGACCTTTGGATCTTCCTTGTTACTTCAGTCGCCCGTGAATGCTGACCCGTGCTCCTGCCCATTTTTTCTCAAGTGCCACGAGCTCCGACCGTGAGCTCAGCGGTGCTTGGACCTCTGCGCGGATGCATCATGCTGCGGGAACGACTGCTACCCGCGCAGGTGCGCCTTCGCCTCCCCGCCTCATCCAGGCACTCAGCGTCAGCCTCCAACGCAAAACGGCCTCGGACCCCGACAACTGGTCAGTGGCCGAGGAAACGCTTCCAGCAAAGTTGGGGGCGGCCTCTGCGGAACATGTGGAAAACCAACTCCTCAAAGGATTGGATGCCTCACTGCTCCGTGGAGTGTCTTTGAGTGATTGTCTTAGTGGATGGGGCAAACATTTTGCGAACAACTCAGCACAAAGCATGTATGACATCCGAAGACGTGACTATGGTCTGAGTTTCCAGGTGTCCAAGATTGACAACTTTCTGAGTCATGATTGGAACACTTCTCGAAGAAGAAAGGTTGTGGTCATGATGATCTATTTCAATGCTCATGCTGCAACAGTTGCAGCCGTGGTCTGTGCCATGATTGTCGGTCTCTGCAGAGAGACCCCTTGGCAGGACATAGAAGCTGCCACTAACAACGATACCCGGACTACAGATCTGATTTCCCTTTTGCCACAAGCCACCTTTGTTTTATTCCTCTTCTTGTGGCAGAGGGTCCGCGGCTTTTTTAGAAGACCAAAGATCGCTTTCCTTGACAGGCTATGCATCGCGCAGCATGACCCGAAGCTGAAAACACGAGGTATTCTGGGTTTGGCTTCCTTTTTGGATCACTCGGAAGAGTTGACCATCCTATGGTCCCCGCGGTTCTTCACGCGTCTTTGGTGTTGCTTCGAGGTTGCCGCTTTCCTACGGAAGAGCAGAAGAAGGAATCAACGAGTGGCCGTCCTGCCTGCGGCAACAGCAGGGGTGCAGCTTGCATGGATCGCGACCTTTCTGGGTGGGTCTGCTTGCCTGCAAATTCTCTGGTGGGCCGTGTCTGTGGAACTTCGACCACCACAGTCAGGAGGGATGTTTGGCAGTACAGCTGATATCCCGTTGAGTGTCGGTATCCTTGCTGCCTGTTGTCTTATGGAGTATCAGCTGTTGGGCGTGTGGGCAGAGATTCAGGATATCAATCGGCAGGTGCATGAGTTTAGTTGGAAGGCTTCTGAGTGTTTTTGCTGCGCACACCATCACCAGCACCCAGAAACCGGTGAGACCATGCTGTGTGACCGGGCGCTGGTGTTTGATACGTTGAAGACGTGGTATGTGGAGGCGGACGAGGAGCATTTGGACAAGTTCAATCAGGAAGTGCAAACAACGCTTGGACAGCGAATTCGAACTCAACTTGCTGCGAACATGATATTTTCCCATTCTACTCTAATCTTACTCTTGTGTGGCACTTGCTCTCCATGGCTGTGTGACAGTGTGGCATGGATGAGGAACTTGTGGGTTTTGCAAAGTACTGAGCTGATTGTCAAATTTTGGAGATGTGTCGTGGCAGTCACAAGATTCTATTTGCTTCCTGTCATCACGAGCCTATTCGAGTTTCTGATTTTAGCACATCTGATGGTCAAGCTGGGTTTCCTTCTGATGGTCAAAGTGCCCAGACTTGTGGCTGCCACTTTTGCTGGTCTTGTGGCTGCAGTGCTCTTGGGTGCTATAAATTGGGCAGTCGACTCATCGGCCGTCCTGATGGCCGAAAAAGGTTTATCTGATTCTTGGCCGTTTCTGGCCTTAGCATGGTTGCTCTTTTGGTGGATTCTCCACAAATTCTTTAAAGTATTGCCACGAATGCGTCGTGTGCCATGTTTCATCTTTGCTGGGTAAAGCTACAAATGTTTTACACAGTGACACAGTTTTTGCACTATTGTTTCACCTTTGCGGCTGTTCATTCTACAGTAATTTTTTACGATGCTTCAAAGACAAGACGGCCAGACCTAGGCCAGACTTATCTTGGGCGGCTGGCGGGCAAAATTGCCAAGTTGCACAGTGAAATCCAACTGCCTGGAATCTGAAACAACCATGTTTCACGTCTGGATCAGTGCTATCATGGTCGGATTTTTCACGCTGAACTAGATAGCACATATTTACATATTTGTTCATTTTTGTACGTATATGATAACCGTACGTAATATGTATATATTTAAATGTATATACAATATATACATATACATATACAATCATATACATATACATATACATATATATGTACATATAACACATACATATACATATACAGATACAGATACATACACATATAAATATAAAACATATATATATATATACATATGCACATACACATATACATTACATTACATTATGCATGCACGCATCCATCCATCCATTCATCCATCCAGACATACATACATACAGACAGACAGACAGACAGACATACAGACATACACACACATAATTATAAATATAATTATAATTATAATTACGTATATATATATATACACGTACAACACATATTTCAATATTTGTGCCTATGACTCATGAGCACACACATTGATTTGTATGCAGACGTCGTCTGTTTCGGTATGCTGCAGCCCCGTTCCCTCCACCATGGTGGCCTCTGAGGCCCGTGCCGATTCCGCCCCGCGATTTCAGATCGGAGCGATCACACGAGCGGCATGGGCAATGGGAAGGCTCCAACGGCTACGACTATGGCGAGTGGGGCGACTGGCAAAAAGGTGGGAGTCTCAAGTTGATGTGGGAAAAAAAAGCTTCCGATTTTGAATCCTGCGTGGAACATGAGTTCAAATTCAACAAGATTCAACAAGATTCAAAGAGATCTCAAGCGACACCATGTTCCACCATATTCCACATGGTTGGTCAGGATGTGCGATCCACAGCCATCCACAGCCATCCATCCCCCATTGTGACGAAGTCTTGAGGTGCCGGTGGCGAAAAGGGATGGCCAATGCCTCAGACATCCTCGGAGAGTAGACCTTTTGAGACATTCTAACGGCTAAATCATGCTCATACGGTATAGCCTAAGGAGGTTCTAACAATCAAGCTACGGGTTTCAGGCCAGTTACATCCATATCTTGGAAATTAAGACCACAAGCCATGAGAATCTGATATTTGGCCCCTTTTTAACCTACCATTTTCCTCAATTTTCGCTGTGTTCGTTCAGGCCTCAGGGAGGCAAAGGAGGCACGATCCGTGCGAAAAGCGTCACGTCAGTGGCAACTTTGTGATCCAACCCAGGGGAGGAATTGTCAGGGGAAAAAGTCAGGTTTTATAGGGAGAATTTTCCAATTATTTCTGGGTCAACTGTTCATTTCTATAGGATTTCCCATTCCCAATCTAACGGTTGACCCTGAGAACAACGGTCCATTTTTAGTGTCGGAATGGTCTTCCAACCCCCCCTCATGATACTCATGGCAGGGTTTGATTTGATGAGGGGATGGTAACCAATGAATATGGAGATATTTGGGGAATTCACGGGGGGATCATCTATACATACAGATATATATATATATAATTTATTTTGATTGAGGATATACACTATTTCATGGGGATCCAATTGGAGAGAGAGAGGGAGAGAGAGGGAGAGAGAGGGAGAGAGAGGGAGAGCGAACAGGTGTGATGAGAGGGAGCATGAGAGGGAGAGAGATAGGGAGAAGAGATGTGTATGTATGTATGTATATATATATATATTTGTATATATATATATATATCTGTATATATATATATAGAGACACAGACACAGACACACAGACACACAGACACACAGACACACACACACACACAGCCACACACACACAGCCACACACACACACACAAGCCCCTTTGCGGTCGCGAGTACCGCCATCAAGGTGAAACATCCTAGGTTGCAGCCGCAGCTGTTGCCCCACGATTGTTCTTTGGGTAACTTGTTCGCTGACACGGCGCTTGCCACCTGTGTGGTTTTCGGTGCTGTGGCGTGGTGGCTGACTGTCCTGGCCAGACAGTTAGTGCGGTGCTGTGGCCTGGTGCTCGAGACAGCTCCTGACCTTCATCTACACGTTTCTGCATTCGAGCATTGCTGCTTTGGCCTGGTGGTACTCATCATTCTGCATCTTTGGGATCCTAATCTGTTTTTGCTTGCTGTTTTATTTACTGGGTGGGCTCCAGATCTGTTTTTCACTGGCCCGGGGACACATTTTGATTTTGGCTCACCAAGCGGTATTTTGGCACTGGCATTTGAGACGAGTTCAGTGTTTTTACTTCTGCTGGCTAAAGTGCCCTTAAGTTTGACATTGACATCTGACACCGTTTCGGTGGTGCGGAACTGGATCCATTTAACATTTCGATCTTGTAGGCAGAGTGATCAGCGATTGCAATTCCGGTCCCAATTCCGGAACTTGGGCATGTTCAGATATTGGCATCTCCAACCCATCCTCTTTGTGATCATCTTCTTGGGGTGGTTGAGTTGCTGCCCATTGAGGGGCGAGGGTTTCGTTGTGGGCATGCGCAACGAGAGAACAGAGTCTTTTGACCCTGTGAAACAACATGCAGAGGAGCCCCATGTGGTGTACGCACCGATCCAAGCACACAGTAATTCAAGTGGTACAGGTAAAAGAAGTTTTCAACGAGCTCAACGTAGGGCATCGAAACATCGATATACCTGGCGGAGGGGTAAGCTATTTTCTGCCAAGCAACTGGGCACTTCCATTGACACACATGAACCTATTCACACTCATGCTGTTAATTCTGTTCCGCATGGCCGACGCCATCGACAACGAATTACATGTTTCAGCTGGAACAGTGGGGGGATGGGTGCTGAGAAGTGGGACCTTTTTCAGATTTGGCTTGCCCAACAGCAGATTGGAGTGGTCTGTCTACAGGAGACAAAATGGCCCTTCTCCTCCGAATGGGCTCAGCAGCATTACCACGTTGTGCACAGCGGCAACACTGGCAGATCGGCAGGCCTGATGTGCATGGTGTCGAAACAGTTGTGTTCAACACACGAACTCTCATGGCATGAACCTATTCCTGGTAGACTACTTCATGTGCGTGTTCATGGCGTTCATCGCAGTTTGGATATCCTCAATATTTACCAACATGTTCATGCCCCACATCGTTTGGATGAACGTTCAGAAGTTTGGCATCAGTTATTAACTTTGTTGGACAACTTGCCACGGCGCAACACTGTCATGCTGCTGGGAGACATGAACACTTCCCTTCTTCGACGTACAGATGCAGTGGGACTGGACACGTTTGCGCTGAATCAGCACAGATGCAGGGGACCCAAACATGCAGACATGCATTTGTTCATGAACATTCTGACAACTCATTCTCTTGTGGCACTCAATACATGGCAACCTGACCTTGGCCCCACATATCAATTTCCCTCCCAAGATCAATTTTCCCGTATTGATTACATTTGCTGCAGACAGCACATGGCTGATGCCACTTCGAGACAGGTTGTATATCTGCATGATTTCCCTCTCCTTGACACAGAAGGTTCAACACATGTTCCACTGATGACTTCCATTCTGAAGGTGTGGCATCACAGTACGACCACGCGACCTCAGGGCTGGACGAGATCGCAGAGGCTCGATCTCAGTCATCAGTGGCAACATCCTACAGCAGATGTCCATCAACTACAATTACAGATTCAACAGCCAGTTGCTGCCATTCCACGTGACGACAGGGCGTTGGATCAATTGCATTTGACATTGAATTCTTTTCGCCCTCCAGCTCATGCCAAACAGAATCGTTTATTTGATCATCTTGATTTGACACCTTTCCAGAGTTTTCAGGTTCACACTATGTCCTTGCGCGCATTGCGGTCCACAGAACTGCAGACACTATTCAAGGCATGGTTTCATGTGCAACAACGCTGCAAAGCGCGTAGACTGATGAAGCAGGCTTCCAAAAATGCACGGAAGCGACGACTGCAACAGGTCTACGATGCAGCGCGACGTGCAGAACAAGCCAGGGACCCATTCAGGATGTGGCAGGCTATACGCGAACTTGCACCCAAACAGACTTTCAGTAAGATTCACTTGAGAACGGACAATGGAGATTTAATGCATCCTGAACAGGCAGCCGACTATTTGCAGCAGTGGTTCTTTCAACTCTATCACAGTGATGACATCCCAGACACTGCCAGTGCCTTTGCGTGGCCATTCACATGTGAGGAATTTGCCAATGGCCTTGCTGAGCTACCACTTTCCAAGGCCCTGGATCCGAGCTATGCGCCATCACCGTTTTGGAAGTGTGCAGCTCCACAGGCCGCGGAACTATTGGACCCACTCTGCAAACAGCGCAGCCAGTGCAATGATTTGCCAGGTGTTTGGAGCCAGGGATACCTATGCTTCTTGCCAAAGACGGCCAAGAGGAATCACCATCCTCGTGACCTCAGGCCCATTGCATTGTTGGAACCTTCGGGTAAGACAGTCATGGGCATGGCATCCAAGCATTTACATGACCAACTTTGTCCAACTTTGCAAGGCCTGCCGCAGTTTGCTTATTTGCCTGGGCGTGGAGCAGACGAGGCTCTTTCCCGCATTGCCAGTTTTTGCAGGGCTGTCCGTGACACAATTGAAGCACACCACTATCCAGTGCACCAGCAGGCTTATGGACTTCAACCTGGAGAACTGGGTGGCGGTCTTCTCCTAAGTCTGGACCTTTCCAAGGCATTTGACACAGTTTGTCGGAAACGGTTGTTCATGGGGCTACAACGCTTGGGGGTCAACGATTCTTTATTGTGTCTTCTCAAATCAATCTATTCCAATACCAGTTTTGCGTTTGAACACAAAGGTTGTCGACGGGAATTTCCAACAACACGTGGCATCAGGCAGGGCTGTCGAGCGGCACCGACATTGTGGACTGCCCAGGCAGCACTCATTTTGCTTGACATTGCAGATGCCACAGATCATGATTGGATGTTGGACCATACCACAACCTTTGCAGACGATTCCAACTTTCACCAGGTGATTCGGTCTGAGCAGCACTTCCTGAACCTGCTGCGATATCTGGGGAAGGTCCTTGATATCTTAGAGGGCTATGGATTTAGTATCAACCTGGAGAAAACAACAGTGATGTTGCGACTGGTGGGTGCAAAAGCCTCGAAACTTCAGCGTCGTTTCGTTCACAGAAGAAAGAATGGGGGTGCTTGGCTCATGATACCTAGACAAGACGGCACACTCACATATGTCAGACTTGTGGCACAACAACAATTCCTGGGGGCAACTGTCAGCTTCTACAATTTTGAGCGTCAAACGATGCTTGCCAGGATCAAGGCAGGGGACAAAACTGGTCAGCAATTAGCTCGTTGGATCTTTACTCGGAAAGGTTTCAACAACAACCGCAAACAACTCATTTGGCGCCAAAGTGTTTTTACCAGCATGAGATACAGTTTAATCCCCATTGGATTCAATGTTGCCACACTTTCATTGTTGGATGTTGCATGCATGAAACACCTCAGAAGAATATATCGTGAACCAGTGCACTTGCATCGCAACACTCATCATGATTTTTTGACTGCACACGGCATTGCCGACCCCTTGATATTGCTGCTGGAGCTCTGCCGCAAAGCCGCCCGACGTGATGCCCTGAGAAATGCTGCACTTGCACCTCATGACATCCTATGCAGAATGACACCCATCAATTATGATGAAAGATGTCAGGTGCTGCTTCGAGCGTGGGAACACCTGCGCAATCGTGTGGCTACAGTGAACACCTTGGAGCCTGACACTCAACAAGCATGTCCTATTTGTCATAAATTGTATCCCACTCTCAGTGTGTTGCGGAGGCATCTGACGACGGTCCATGCAGACAGATCAGGCCCACTTCGGCCAATCAACACCACTGATTTTGACAATGGCATTCCAACATGCTCCAGATGCAAACAACATTTTACTACTTGGCATGGTTTGCGCAAACATGTTCAATTTGTTTGCATGGCTACTGGACAGGACGCTGAAGATCCTGATGAGGAAGTAGAACATCGTGTACGAGTTCATGAACTACTGCAGTATGCGTGCTGCTTGAACTTGGAGGCGTTGTCCATGGATGTGGAACTGGCAGCCTACTTTCACACCCGGTGTGGTATTTGCAAATTTTTCTGCAACACCACCAAAGGACTTTTACTTCATTTTCAGACAGCGCACAATGATGTTTTCCGACGACATGAGGGTCTCAATGAACAACTTTTGTATCGATG